CCTGGTGGTGGCTCCTGTCCTGGCCTCCTTCCTCTAGGCTGTGCAAAGACAGGCTTGGCCGCTGTGAGAAGTCCTTGAGGGGGCAAAGGCAGGGGAGAGCCAGTCTCCTAAATCATGTCAGCCCCGCTGTCCGCATGGACCTCCCGCCCCCACGCTGGCTCTCCACCCCCGGCACTGCGCTCTGAAAGGCGCTGTGCTGTGCTGTGCTGTGCTGTGCTGCGCTGCTCTCTAATCCTGCCCTTTATGCCACAGGCCAGTATGTGCATGAAGCATCCTCCGTGCCAGCCCCTGCCTCAGGGCCGGGCAGCAGAGCCAGGAGCACTTTCCCCAGCAGCCCAAGCCCCTGACAGGAGGGGGGGGTGGGTATGTTTGAATCGGGTACCCAGGTTGTAGCTATATTGATCTAGAAGCCAAAGGAATCAGGCCTCGTGGCGGAGGTGATATGTTTTATTAGACCAACTAGATTTTTGCACCCAAAAAAAAATTCTTTAATTTTCGCCTAGGCCTGAAGAAGGGTGTTTGTGCCTGACAGATTGCAATTAAAGAATTTTTTTTTTTTCTGGCAAAAATCTACTTGGTTTAATAAAAGATAGCACTTCTACCACGCGTCCTGACTCCTTTGTGTTTGAACCGGGCGTGCCTCTGTATGTGCATCTGATCTCCATGCCCTCGTGTGTCTGTGTTTGCCTGGCATTTTTTGCTCTGTGGCGTGGCTCTGTGGAGTACCAGAAACAGCTTGTGAATGAAAAGCTTGAAGAGGAGGGTTTTTTGTCTCTTGTCTCCTGCCCTGTGGCAGTGAGTGCCACAGCCTGTGTCCTGCTCTGGTCACAGACTGTCCCTGTGTGGGTAGCGTGCCTCTCCTCTGGCAGGGTAGAGGCAGAGGTGGCTCTCCAGGGTAGACCCCGGGCAAGCTTTGAGCACGGGGCAGAGCCCTCGGCCTGGCCTCTGTGCAGAGGGAGGGCAGGCAGCTGGCGCTCTCTGCCTGCTCGGCTTGTTCTTAGCTATAAGGAGTCCACGTAGGTAAGACTGCGAGCCCTGACCGCCTGGACAAGCTCCCAGCCAGGCACAAAACTCAGTGCTCTCCCAAGCTGCTGGGAGGCCCCGGGGCTGGGGCTGGTCTATGCCCTGGGGCCGGGTAGGAGGAGGAGAGATCACCCTTCTCTCCTGCTTGGTCCAGCTGGGGCCATGCGCCCTGCTCCCTCCTGGTGAACTCAGCCCAGCCCTGGGGACAGGGCGGCCAGCCTCTTTCGGGCAGAAGACCTGGCATCCCCAGCAGCTTCTCTCTGCTGCAGGAGGGTCTGGGGGGAGCAGGGAGCGCAAGGTGGGCAAGGGCAGGGCAGGCATGGGCTCCATGGCAGGTTGTACGTCGTTTTAGGATTGGGTTCCCGCTCCCAGCCCCCTCCCCTTGGAATTCATTGGAGCTCTGTTAAATCCATCAGCACCACACCGTGGCACGGTGCCCAGGTCAGCCGCGGCAGTCACGGCCCTAGGCAGCTCCGCCGAGACCCAGCTGGCTTTCGCCTGGTGCTTTTTCGCAGCCAGGCTTGGTGCAGGGCAGAACCGGCCCGGCTCCCGGCGCACGTGGACCCTGGGCCCTGCAATCAGAATCCCAAACACGCAGGACCCGGCCTTATCTCTGGTGCCAGCAGCCGGCGCCCGGGCGCGTGGTCTCAGGGCCCTGCGCCTGCCAAGAAGGGCTTGGGCTGCTGGAATCACTGGCCCTGGGAGATTGGAGGTTGCCATGGAGAGTCCAGCTGCTGATTTGGGCAGAGGCACATCTGTCTGCTCCTGATAGTGCAGAAGTGCACGGCAAACAGCCATAAGCCTGACTGCGTGAGAAGGGGCAGGGGCTAGGGACAGCCCTCCCCTACTATGCCCCTCTGCTCCTTTTCTTCACCCCACGACACCTATCTCTCCGTCCCCGTCAGCTCTCTGCCCTTCTCCTCTCTCGGTCCCTCTCCCCATCTCTATCTCCTTATCCGGGTGCTCGTCCCATTCTTTGTCTGCCTTGCTGTCTGTCTTCTGCCCTCTGCCCATCCATCTGTCTGTGCATCCGGATCGGTTATGGTCATTTAGGCTCCAGCCCAGTGGGTCTGCAGACTCCCCCGGTTCCTACCAAGCCCAGCCCTGCCTCGTATTGATCCACCTCATTTAAGCTGGCGCGCACATGGCTCCAGCGGCCCGGGGCAGAGACGCTGCTCTTGCAAACCTATCATTCTCCTCCAGCTTGCCCTGCCGTCCTGGGGAGCAGGGCGGGAGCCCTGGGTAAAGGGTGTGGGAGCCGGCAGCCGCAGGCCCTGGGGGCTGCTAGGGATGGAGCAATTTCCCATGATGTGATTATGCTCAGTAACGTGATTATCATCTAAAAATATCCACTTGTCGCTCTGTAGGGGAGGCCTGAGCAGCTGCTTGGCTTCACCCTGACAGCCCAGTGCAGGCAAATGGGGCTCGTGTGCTAGGGCTCGTGTGAAGCAGTGGGAAGGGCTCGTGGAGGAAAAGTTTGAGGATGAAGGTTTTTCTCTGATTCGTTCAGAGCCCGCTGCATTCAGCCTTGGGCTGGGCCCTGCATGGAGACAGGACCCGGAGCAGAGAGGAGGCAGGCAGCTGGCGCTCTCCCTTGCCCTTAGCTATGAGGCACTAATGCTGAGTCTTGTGCTGGGTGCAAGGTAGGGTGTGAAATGGGTTTGTCACAGGCACTGGGGGAGGCCTGGATCGCTTGGCCCCAGGCGCCCAGACCAGCGGGGCGGTAAAATGGACTGGGCCTCCACCCCGGAGCTGTGCTGAGCAGCCCTATGCCCCGAGCACTTGCGGCTCCCGTCAGCAGCGACGAGAGCCTGGCTTCCCGTCACCGCCGGCCAGCCGGGAGGGCTCTGCTAATCTGCTCCAGGCAAATCCCAGCCTCTGCAGAGCCGTTCCCCGAGAGCCTGGGAATCCAGCCCTGGCTTTGCCAGCAGCAGGGCCCCTGGAAAGTCTGAGCTCATGGACACCGGTCTGGTCGGATGCTCAGCCTGACAACGCATCCTTCTCCAGCATCCTTCGCGCACAGAGAAAGAGGCTTTCACTGCCGGACAGAGCGGACCTTTGCCCTTCCTGCCGCCTCCTGCCGAGGGCTGCTGTGCACTTCACCAGCCCTCTTGAACCGCAGGTCACAGCCCTGTCCTGGGAGGGAGGCAGGCAACAAGACCTCCTGCAATAAGGCAGTAGGAGTAGCGGGGGACCCAAAGCTGCATGACACCTTGGGCATGTGTAGAAAAGGATATCTGTCCGTCTGCTGGCTCCCGGGGCTGGAAGGAAGATAGTCGGACCTGGCATGCTTGCCCGCAGCAGGGCACCCAGAGTCCCACCGGCCAAAGACAGGCCTGGATCGTCTCTGAGCCTGCAGAGGTGCTGGCAGGGGTGAGTGCTGGGGGACATGGGGCTCTTCCCGTGCATCCTGAGGAGCAGGCCTGTCTCTGGGACATCCTATCCAGAGACACAGGGACGGCAGCCACGCCGCGGGGCAGCGCTGCAGAGGGAGAAGGACGCTGGAGCAGGAAGGCTCGGAGCAAGCCTTGCTCCTGGATGGAGAGGAGAGGAGAGGAGGCAGCTGTACCTGCCCAGTGACAGCACTTCCCTGCTAAGGCAAAGCTCCTCTTGCCCCACCTAGAGAGCCAGGGGCTGCCTCGAAGGCAGAAACAAGTGGACCCCAGCAATGCTGGAGCACACGAGGTCTCTGGCTTGCAGGTGCTGGATGCCATGAGCTGAGGACACAGGACGAGCCACCTCCTTCCTCTCTGAAACTGGGACAGGCCAGCAGCCTCTCGCAGCTGAGCAGTGATGATGTGCAAACCAGCACCCCCCATCCTGACACACACCCCACGCTTGCTCGGGGACAGTCTCTCCCGTCCACATCCTGCAGCCGATAACAGGTCACAGAGGCAGCCAGGACGCCCGCTCTGGGCCCGGGGTCGGGGGGATATCGATCGGAGGTGCCTCTGGCAGGCAAGTGCGTCTGAAGGACGAGGGTTGGGTTTCAGCTCTCGGACCCGAGCGCGGTGCGTGCAGGGGGTGGGGAGGGCCTGGGGCTCCAGCGCTCGGAGACGCCACTTGTGGATCTGATAAGGCGCTGGCAGGGAGCGGGGCAGCCGTGCGGCTCCGTCACGTGTCGCCTCCCCATGCGAGAGGCGCGCATGTAGCGCAGGGGGCTTGCCAGACCTGCGGCTTGGACCCGAGGCCAGGCCGCCCGACCCTCTCCTCAGCACCAAGCCTCAGGTAACGCGCATCAGACCTGCAGCCCTGGCCCCACGCGCTTGGCAGTGACCCCCAGAGGCCTTGCAGCGGTACCTGTGGGTGGGAAGGCAGAGCAAAGGGTCTAGCCCTGCCGGCACCAGACGCAGAGGAGTGGAGATAACAGCAAGGCGGCCTTTGGCACAGCCATCCTCGCGCCCGCCTCACCCTGTCTGTCCCTGCCCTTGCATGTAGGGCAGGCCGGCCGAGGATGCCTGTGCTGTCCCTTGCCGTGGCGTAGTACCACCTGCCCGGGGGTTAGCCGGGGGTGCAAGCAGAGCTGCGCCCCCGCCATCCATGCACCGCTCCAGAGGCTTCCTGGAAGACCCTTGTTGTACGGTGCGAGGCGGGGAGGGCAGGATAGGGGGGGAGCTGGCCGGTGTGTGTCATTGCCGGCAGCCTGGGAGGCGTCCAAACTCTCTGTCGCTTCCCATTGTGTGGAGAACAATGGCTCAAAACAAGTGCGGTCCTCCCTCTGCTCAGTGCATGGAAAGATTCAAGGGGGGAGAAGGTTTCTTCCAGGCCAGGAGCCTGGGCTGGCTGAGATCAGGCACTGCCCACAGCAGCAAAGCTGCAGCAAGCTGGGACTGCAGCCATCCGCGTGAGCGCCAGACTGGGCTGGACACGTGCTGGGCGGATGCCAGGACCCCTCTCGGCGCGTGACCCTGCCCTGGCTGGACAGCTGCAGGCCATGCCTGGGATCTCACCTCTCCCCCTCTCCGTCCCCATTGCAGAGGGAGCCCGTGACCCACGGCCTGGCATAAGAGTCCAAAGGGATGTGGAGACACAGAACTGCTGGTACGTGAGCGCCTGACCAGGCCACGACCCCTGGCCCCCTCCTGCCCCAGGGCCAACCACTAACACGGGCCCAGCTGAGAGCCAGCTGGGTCTCAGCACTGCAGTCCCTCCCGCTCGGCCAAGCTTTGCCAGGCTCCAGTCCCTGCAGCCCCCCCCCCCC